ATATATATATATATATATATTATAAGAATAATAAAAAACAAAAAATAATAATAATAATAAATTACAACTTTTGTTCAATCTACCCTGCTGCCAAATGGTGTCAAAAGTGTCGTAGTATAAAAAAAAAAAGTAGGGCACTCAATTGACTGTTTAGTTATGATTAAAACCACCAGATGGAGACACAGTTGGAAGGATGAATCCGAAGACGACGACGAAGAAGAAAGAAATAAAAAAATATATATATATATTTAGTGCAGTCTTAGTGAAAGTGCCTTAAAATATGTTTAAAAATATTTATGAGTAGGAAAATGGCGAAGAGTATTTAATAGCATGTTTCTTTTTTCCATCAAGAGAAAATAAAAAATAAAAAAAAAAACAAGATTATTTATACGCTTTTCAGTAGAAACAAGTTTATCGATAGTGGCTCCATCTGGTGGTAGGGTTAGTGTCAAACCCGAAAAATTGTGCTTCGTAAAGTAGAGACGAGAGGACTCAAGCAAGTTTTTTTTTAAAAAAAAAACACACACACACAAGAAAGAAACTATTATTATTTTTCGTCTAGAATTGTTATTTTATGTGAAATCGTCTTCATTTCGTTGATAGTGAATGCTCAAAACATCAAAAATATTGCAAGAAAATAAATAATAAAAAAAAAAACTTCCATCGGTGAATGTTGTTCCAGCCAATAGAAAAAATTAAGAGAAAAATAAAGTAGAACAACTTCATTCTGGAAAACAACTAAGGAAATTCGTAGAAATTGAATGACAAGATTCCATTGAATGGTTCTTTTTTATTATTTTTTTTTTAATTATTATTATTTTGAAAAATCTGAAAACATTAGCGAAATAAGGCCTAAAGTAGTTCCTACAAATAGGAGAAGTTTAGGCTGAATGACTGTTAAATCTTCATCATTAGAATGTATGTAGAGAAAGAAATTAACGAATGTAGCCATTTGAGTAGGAGGAAAGTTTACTCATTCAAAAAAAAAAAATAATAATTTACTTTCACTTCATTTCCTCTTTTCCGATTTAATTTTCGTTTTATATTGTAAAGACCTTAAACAAATCCGTGGTGGCTTTCTATAATAAAAAAAAAAAAAAAAACGTAGAGGGAATTTATCCTTAGGTAGTATTTATATATAGAAATGCTATCGTACAATTGGCAAATCATGTTAGTTTCTATAGCGATGTCTATAGTATAGCCACCATAATTTTTCTATTACGACATCGCGTGCCATAAAGCAAAAAAAAGGGATGAATGGATCCATGATCTTGATCATCATCTCCTCTATATTTTGGCTTCCGGTTTTTATGTTCTTTTTCTTTTCTTCTTTAAATATTAAACTATAGACAGATTATATACACAACATATATATATATATATATGAAGTGAAAATGTTACTAAAATTTGTATAATTTTGTAGAGAATTTTTTCATCTTTTGTAGATATGTCGCCAGTCTGTGTATAAAACAGTAAAGGAAAAAAAAACTCTTGGAATTTTTAACCGATTTTTTAATTTTTTTAGGATGAAAATTAATC